GATATCAGTAAATCTTTTATGATATAACAATATTCTGCTTTATATTTTATGATTTGCGTTGTGTTGCTCTGAGATGTATCAATATATATGTAATTCATTCAAATCGGGTGTGATAATGTGTTTTTTAATGTAATCTTATTTTATTATATCTAATTTAATGAGTTTAGATCAGATTAGTTTCGATGATATGGGATGTGATGAGATCCGGTCAGATTAGTTCGGATGAGAGAACATGTAATAAAATATTCTAAATATATTTTTACTATGTAAGTAGATTTTCGAGACTACCAGTAAATCAGTAATATGAGATGTATTCACCCAATTTCGTTTAATGTGATGAAGGATTAGTAGAAGAAATTTCCCACAATGATATGAGTAGAGCTGACGTTTCCATTAAAAATTACATGGCCTTACTTTCCCAAAAGTTGTTCATACCCAGAGTGGACTGCATGAGAACAACTTTTGGGAAAGAAAGGCCATGTGAAATTGAATGGAAACGTCAACTCTACTAATTATTCTTATATAAGTTTAGTATGGAATTCTTTGTGTTTTGTTTAAGGTTGATTCGCTATGTTAAGAAGGTATTATTTGATTTGAGACGAAATTACATTTGATGAGATATGTACAGATGAGAATACATTATATTAGATTTTTTGATACCAGATGAGATTGTCTTTTGTTATACATTGAGATGTATTTGGTAGAGATGAGTTGAGATTCTGAGATCAGAAGAGCTGATTTGTAAAGCGATCAGAAGAGGCCATATGAGATGAGATCAGATTTGATGCCATTTTTAATCTTATTTAGAATGAGATTAGATGTCTTGAGATGAAATGCTTTGTGATGTAATGAGGTGAGTTGAGATGAATTTTATCTGAATTCATTTAAACTGAGACTATTTGAAATTTGGATTATTGAGATGAGTTTATTTGTGATAAATTAAGATTAGTTGCGATTTGCTGAGTTTAGATGAATTACGATAAACTGAGTTGAGACTAGCTGATTTAAGATGTGCTTCTTTGTTTTGTGAGAGGAGTTGTTTCTACAAAAGTATTTGTGTCGAGAAATGCGATTTGATGTTTTGATATTAAATGAAATTGCATTAGTCGATTTCTAATGATATTTTAAAATTACTATTTCATCCGTCTTTATCTACCTTATACCTCACTTGCTTTTTTGGTTTTATAAATATATATCTTTCATATATTTTTCTTTACTTGACTAAAATCTTTTAGAAACATGAGATTACATTTATTCTCTGATTCATTTTTGCTCTTACTACCTATTTCTGCTTTTATACACTATTATTATGAGCCTAACTCTAATCTTTTTTACCTTCACTTAACCCGTTTTATCTTAGGCATAGATAAGATAGTACTTGACAATATCAATCTTTTTCTTTTCTAATTTAAGTATTTATATTTATAATTGTTTGTATTTCCATCCAGAAGCATATTTACTTTTGCTTCTTTATGCATGCAAAGGTCGGATACGAGATATGAGCCTGATGCATTAGTGATATTTTTAGACATATTCATCCGCACATCTCATAAGGGGAAAATTTTCAAGAAAGGTTAAGAAATTTGCTAAAAAAGCTATTGTTGTAACTGATCAGAGGTAGATAAATACAGGATAAACAAGGTCATGAAACCTGTCTAGAAGTCAGATGAACTGAAATGGAAATGTGTATTTATCCTCTGGTAACATGGCTTAGTGTACTCGTCGATTTATGAGTAGAGAAAGTGTCGTTTGATGAATATCATTTTTGAAGCGAATTTTGTGTACAATTGTGTCATTAAGAAAATCTTAGGTCAAAATCGTCAGAAACCGACACCATATTCCTCATAGTCTTTGGTTGATTGATTCTGTCGAGAAGTTCAGACTGGAGCAGTCTTCGAGTCACTTGAGGTTTTGTCTCTTGGATATTTTAGAGACTTTGTAAATATTGGGCAACTTTCTTATGACAACTTTAATCTTAGAGCGATTCATAAAAGCTCCCAGACCTATTCCTATATTGGGAGTATATATACATAAAAAATATATTTACGGGGATATAAAATAATGTGGATTGATTGTTTTCGTGCACAAATATGCGTGCACACATTCATGCGTGTATGTGTGAAGAACTGCGCGAGGATAAAAGCCTCAAATATCGTTTTTAGTTATTATAATAGAATATAATATCTTACTCAGGTCATCGAGGTATGTTGCTATAACGACAGATGCTATGCTCTGTTCTAGTAAGTCAATGTTTCACAAGAGTTTATTGCTCGTATGCATATACTCTCATATACACGCAAAAATGTAGATAAGCATGTATATGCCTTAATAAATCATGAACTCCCTCATTTGTGTGCATGGATGGTAAGCTCTGTTGTCTCTTCGTAGGTTTGCAGTTGCTATGAGAATATGCCCAGATCCGATTGTGTATTTGGCGGACAGCTGATTCGCGAATACATCAAAAAGGGCCCCCTTGACAACATCTTGAGTACATTTGCAGTCACCGGGGTAATTGGAATTTTCAGTCTGTCGCCGAATACTTTGTGGGTCTACCGCTGGGTTGTCAGGCCAACGAGCCCATGTCAAGCATTTTCTTGGCAGGAGCAACTGGCCAGCAAGACAAAAAATGCCCTCTTCCGGAGTTCGAGCGTTGCTGGATGCCAGTCCAGCCATTTATCGGCCAGCAGAGACAACAATTCCGAGAAGATGTCTGAATTCGGGGACAGTATTCTTTTAATGCCGATTTCGTCTTAATTTCGTTGTAAATTTGCTTCAAAAATGCCAGTAATTCGTGAATAATGCATTCGTTTAAAGGGATTTAAGCAACTAGAGCCTAGCTTTTTCCACAATGATATCGGTTTGCCTCAAGATACCATTTAGTTTCATTTGGCATTGTCATTAGCTAATCTTTTTAGATCTCATTAGAAGCTACAAAAGGGTTTTAAACCATGTCATACGTGTTTTAGCAACTAGATGAAATTTTTTATCTGAGTATTTTTGAGGCTATAAGTAATTAATGGAAAAGTAGTTATTCTCACCAAAAGCTGTAGCAGTATTGCCTTGCAATGCAATTTAGAGTTATTAAGTTACTATTCAAGTATTATTAATAGGCTAGGAAACTACTTACCTCGAAAATGGGTAATATCCTCGATTCCAATGACAAATATGACAATCCCACCATAAATTGTATTTTAAGCTACCCACTGGTATCTGTGGTCATGAAGTGGGCTGTAGACATAACATCGCAACGATATTCACAACCAGGGTTCGAATCCAACTGCTGATGCGACGATGAGGCAACGTTGAAACTACAAACATTCGTGGATGAGGCATACTTTTGGGAGAAAAGGCCAGGTGAAATTTAACGACAAAGTAAATCTAAATAAACTGATTGGGTGAGAATATTCAACTACCAGTCCATTAATCATCTTAAGTGATCTAGGCTGACCAAGTTCTTGGAGTAGATAGCAACTGGTTGCACGACCCTGTTTGCCATTGGATCTGGACTGAACTGTAAATTTGACCTCGCCTAGAACCTCATCAGAACAGCCAATAGGA